TATTTTAAAGAAATGAACTTTAAAAACCATTGACTTAATTTAAAAATTATGACGTATGAAATAAATTGTAATATATAGCATATATTTATATTTATATATAAATATATATATATTATTAGACCTATTCTGTGCACTTGACAAATTTGTCAAATTCTTTAATAAAATTTTTGATTTTTATAAAGCAGAAAGCTTTTTGGTATTCTGGACACATCTTGACAAATTTCAAAGCTCAAGTACCTAATGATTTTCACCACACTATGGTGTAAAGTGTTTTGTATACAAAACTATTTGTAACTGTTCGTAAAAAAGAGCATATATTTTAAATTGTCGAAAGCGTTTTTCATGCATTCAAATCACAATAAAAAAATGCTTGTAAGGAGCGTATATTTTAGTTAAGAATATTTGTCATGCATACAAATAATAAAAAATGCTTAAAAAGAGCATATTTTTATAGTTGTCAACAGCATTTGAGGTACTGACAACTAACAAGGAAAGAGCTTTTTATTTATGTCAATACCAAAACCTTTACAGCAGTCAATTTTGACAAGTGTCAATGTTTGACAATTTTATAAAGTGCACAGAACAGGTCCGTATATATATATATATATAAATATATTATATACATTTATACATAAGAAATTGTACATATACATATGTATATAAATATAAGTAAGCAAATTTTTATAACAATATTATTCTGTTATCATAGAGATTAGTTCAATAAACTGGCTAGGCAGAAACCATATGGTTTTAAAGCTTTCATTATGAAGGGGAATATAAATTAATATGTGGTAGCTAACGATCTTAATTGTTTTGTAAACACTAATAAAATATATATTTAATTGTATATTACAGATTTTTATTTTTTAAGCATATTTGTATATACAATTAATTCTGTAAATTCATCAATAATTATATTTGGATACGAAATTGGGGCCAAATTAATATATGTATATATGTATAACATGAAGTTATGTTTTTATTAATTTATAATTTAATATTTTCTATTATTAATTTGTTTGGTTCAATTTGCACATAAGTGTACTTATAATTTTTAAAAAAACTACATATAGAGTTTGGTAATAATTAATATAATAATGAAAATTTTAAAATATTAAATGTACTCTGTGTAACATACAATAATTAAATTCAAAATTAAATTTTGATATTCAACGTATATGTATGCATATACATAAATATATATATATATTAATAGTTTCGCATTTATAAAATTTTTAATATTTAACAATAATACGATGTGTTATTTATTAATAATAAATTTGTTTATTATAACTGGAAAAATTTTAAACATTTATTTATTTGCATCAGTTAAATTATAATTATTAATTTAATAATAACCTTTACCTTGTACATATTTTGCATGCAAATTACATTATTTGGTAGTTATTAATCATATAAATATATTTAATTTATTTACATTACTTTATATATAAGTAGTCAAAATTCAAGCATTGCTCTCAGCTTTCATAATTTATTTTCTGTTATTGTGTCTTTTTTTAACTGTTTGCTTTTGTGTGCAGATATTTGTTCACGATGATAGTAACATTACAATAAAATCAGTAAAATTAATCATCCCATGTAGGAAATTGAGTCTCATCAACGAACATACTAAAGGTTGCACTGTTGGGGTCAGATTTTGTATTGGGACGATTTGATGTGTTACATTCTGTTGGTTTCGAATAGCTGACAGATTGCCCTGGAAATAACACAAATAATTATTTTTGTACTTTGTGATATTATTAATAACATTAGAATCATACACATATGTGTATTCGAGAAAACTTGTTTCGTTTAAGTTTGTGTAATTTTCGTTTAAACTTATCAGTTATATTCTATATAAATGATGTTTAATATTTTATATATTGATATAATTAGTGATACATTTGTTGATGTGACCTTATATGTACTCGCTGATGTATTAAAAACTAAATAAAAAATAATTAAGCAAAAATAACTAACATTTATATAATTATTTATTTAAATCTTGGTCGCTTTACTTCTGTAAAGCAAGGTGAAGCTTTGACAATCACTCTCCAGTATCTCTTTACTGGAGAGTGATCAGATATACAGGGGCATAAACACGTACTTTGTGTATGTGCCGTAACTGTTGTATACTGTCGGTAGTGTGATTACATCCTCTACGCGGGGGCGGCTAGAAACAGGTCCATAGTATGGCCATGTCTCTACTATGGGTGCTGGCTAATTGTAATCGGGCGGACGCATGTAAAAGAGTCTTAAATCAAAGCTCAAATCCAAGGTGGAACAGGATATGCCGAGGGATGAATGGTCATGGATAGTTGGTCTGTAATATGCGAACTCTGGACACCTGTCGACATCCAGTTTTAATTAGACTTCTCACGATAAACTGGCTATGTCGTGGGTTACCTTCCAATCCCGAATATAAACAATTTTGCATGGAAAAATTAAACAATAAAAATTCAAATGAGATTGATTTTACTCTAACGGCATCACCTTCAAATGATTTCTTTACGGAATCATCTGTAGCTGAGTGTGTGCCGGCCACTGGGCTGGAAGCCACCACCCATATCGACAGCGCTATTGTATGCGTCAAAATGGACCCGGATAGACCACCGTCTACTTCTCTGCTTGCGGAGACGGTGTACGCAGCAGCAGTTACTTCGTCGTGGTCTCAGGTAAGGCGGCAGGAAATTATTGAGGTCTTGTGATTCCGACACCGGCAGTGTGGTCTCACAAAAGTTCGGTTTAGCTGTCGTTGGCTCCAAAGTTAGCAACCTCACTTTGGAATCCCCAAAATTTACTTCTTTAAGCGAAGAAGGTTTAAGGCGGCTAAGGCAGCTATGTCTTCAGGCCATAGCAGGGCAGAGGCTCCAAAAATCGCTACACAGCATCCACCTGCGAACAAGCAGGTCAGATCGGAGGAGCAATCCGCCAGTTTGATTTCCGCCAAAAAACCTAAGGTGACTCATGAGGGGCTTACCAAGCCATCGTTACCAGCCTAGTTGTTAAGGGCATACGCTTAGGCTTCACTTCGGCCGATCAGGCTGGTATTTCGCTCTCTGCAGAGCAAATTGCGCTTCTCCAAGAAGCCATTATTGATGTTGCTATTGAGCAACACAACGACGATATACAGCCGGAGTTCGAAAGGAGTTTAACTAGAACGGGGTGGCTGCTTATCGTATGCAAAAACTGCGAAGTGGATCAAGAAATTTTCAAGTCATATAGGGGCCAAATGCGGACTCGCTATGAACGTGGTAGAGGAAAAGGATTTCCCACGAACTCACGTAGTTCGTGGCTATTTTCCTTAAAGTTTGACACTGTCAAACGAAAAAGTTCTGGCTACCATTGACACCCAGAACAAATTCTCCACCAAGCGGTGAAAGGTCATACGCAGGCTGACGCAGGATCAGATGCTGCACCTGGTTTTCGTCATTGATGACGAATCTATGAGAAAGTTGTCCGAACTTCAAGGTAGGATTGCATACCGGTGCGTACACTTGAGATTGATGCTAAAGGGAACCACCCCCGCTCTCTCTTACCACATGGATAATACTCCAAAGGTGGTTCAGGATGACAGTTCTATCCAGTCATCCTAGGCTCCGGAAACATCCCTTATGGAGCTGTGAGCTCTGCTAGTGGGAGTGCAGTACAGATTCCCACCTCGGTAACTAAGTCCACAATGCCCTCCATGGACACGGCAACTGTAGTAGGTAAACCACGGATCGCTAGTAATAAAACACCCTTAATCGGTAAAACCTTACCGAAGCAATCAAAGGGTGATAAGAACAAAGGATCTCGACGAGACAAATGTGAAAGGCTCGTCCGTAAGTCTCTTAACGAGATAAAATGAGCGCTTTTAAAGTGCTCCATGCAAATCTGCACCATGCTAAAGGAGCTTCAGCCACCTTGTGCAGAATAGCCCAAACCGACAACATCGCTCTAGGACTTATCCAAGAGCCGTGGGTGTTTGGAGGCCACATTCGGGGTTTTAACACAAAATCAGGTAAGCTGGTTTATGACCGCTCATAAGGTAAGCTGATTAACTTACTTTATTTCTAGAGACCTAGCAGCAGTTCTAGTCGAAGTCCCAACACTAGGAGGGGCCACAGATATAGAGTCCACTGGGCGGCAGCTAATCTTGGGCTGTGACGCTAATGCTCACCACACAGTGTGGGGGAGCAGCAACGATAACAAAAGGGGTGAGTACCTATTAGAATATATTATGTCGATAAGATTAAGTATAGCTAACAAAGGTAGTAAACCCACTTTTATTAATGCAATTAGAGAAGAGGTATTAGATCTCACTCTTTGCACCAGAGGTATTGAGGAATCTATATGGAATTAGACTATCAACATATTACTCCCGGTATTCCCGGTAAATTCCCGGTATATCCGAACAGCAAAATAAAGTGTACCGGCCAAAGAAAACCTCTAGTTAGGCCACAAAGAACTTGTGAAGAGAAAGAGTTGGCCGCAAATTATTTAGGTGAGGTATTACTAACCTCCTTTCACAACAGCACGGTTGCAGGCAATGCTTCAATTAGAGGTAAGGTTCCTTGGTGGAACTCACAACTAGCTAATAAGCGCAAACTAGTAAGAAGCTTCTGCTCAAAAAGTATCCGGATTTTGTTAACTACTCCTTTTTCAAAACTTTTTTTTCGTTTTGCAAACCCTTTCTTGACATATTTCATGTGTTGTAGCATTAAAAATGGTGCAGAAAGCTTACGGGGACTCTTTTATGTCTCGAACACAGAAATGCTGGAAGATCGTCGTATGACTGAAAGGGAGATTGCTCGTGACTTAAACATCTTAAATGAATCAGTTCACCATATTCTACACGATATATTGGGCA